AAGGGGAAGCCGAGGAGGGGAGCTTGGAGCTCGCAGCAGCCACCAGCCCTGGGCCCGAGGGCGGAGCATCCCTGCCTCTCGCTTACTTACCCTTTGGGGGAACATTTTTCTGACAACTTCTTGTTGAATTTGAAGAGACTTTTTTTCCCCTTTTCTTTTCTAAAAAAATAAATAAACAGTCCATTATAATTGGAAACATACATTTAGATGTTTTGTCAACTACTACTTTGAAGTAATTTTTCCCGTCTTCCAGCTTGGAGAAAGACAGATATAAATTCTTATGAAAGGAAAAGCATAGCATTGACCAAGTAAACATAGCAAGCTCAAGCTAAAAGATAGGAAGGGTGAAATATTACAGAAGCCCAAATTCCAAATTATTATATAGAATAATATGTATAATAATGTATATGTATATATTTAATACAAATGCTAGAAGTCCATAAAGGATTAGTCTTATACATATTATGTGGAAAGGGCTTTTTAAGACAGAAGTACAGGGCGTAAAGCAGTGATTCTCAATGCTGGGGGATTTTACAATCTAGGGGCTATTTGGAATGTTGGGATTTTTTTTTCTTTTTTCTTTCTGTCATGAGTGGGAAGCAGGTGCTACTGGCCTCTGACCGGTGGAGGCCAAGGATGCTGCTAAGCCTCTGGTGACGCACCGCGCAGGCCCCACAACAAAGAATTATCTGGCCCGATATACCAGGAACACCAACCTTGTAAAGTTCTGGCATAAACCATACTGGAAAAGGTAAACTGATTTGTCTAACTCAAATTTTAAAAAAAGTTTCCACAACCAAAATTTTCTTGAGTGAGAAGATAAAAACAAAACAAAATTACAATATGACAACAAAGGGTTGATTTTGATTAAACAAAGAATGCTATTCTGATACAAAAATGGACACATATAATTCTTAAAAGAAAAAAAGTTTTAATACAACACTTATTAAAAACCAGGTTCTGGTCATTTATGATCCTCCCAGACCTCAGCGGTTTACGTAAAGGTGCCTGCAAACTATAGCCCGAGGTCCAAATTGGCCCAATGCCTGTTTTTGTAAATAAAGTTTTATGGAAACACAACCAGGTCCACTTGTTTATATATTTGTTTCTGGTGGCTTTTGTGCTACAATGACAGTATTGAAGAGCTACAACAGAGACCGTAAGACCGGCAAAGCCTAAACCATCTATTATCTGTCCCTTATAAGAAGAGGTTTGCCAAACTCCAGTTTCGGAAAACACAAGGTAGGTGACGTCCCACAGCACTGACACTAACAGAGCCTGGGACAGAGACGCCTCTGTCTAGAACATCACAGGTCCCGTGGCAGAGAGAATGGCGCCGCGAGGGCTCTTAAAGCTTTGGTTTGGAAACGACCCTCTCACTTCTGCCTGCATTTCTTTGTCTACATCGAGTCACATGGCCGTCCCCCGGTCCACAGGGCCGGGGTATATACCCTTGAGATATTGGCGAGCACTGATGCAATGTCGCAGCGTGTTTAACCGCGTGGGCAGTGCAAAGAAATTCAGAGGGAAACTGGTGGCATATCATTCCATGCTTTTAATTGGTCGCACACAGAAAGGTCTCATTATTTCTAGCGTTGATGACGGTACAGGGAAAAGGGTACGTGGTGTTAATGGGAGCCTAAAGTGGCAATAATGTGGTCATCGCTATGTGCTAATTTTACATATACAGACTCATCAACCGGTTGACCTCACTTCTAAAAATTAGCCATTGGAAATACTACTGAGAATGTGTCTGCTTTGGGGATTGGTGACACTCTCCTCACTGGGTCAGCTTGAACGGGAGAGGAGCCCCCAGACTTAGTGGAGCAGTGGTGACTCTACTAATAGAAATGTAAACAGCAGACACTGGGAAGTGGTCCTGTGAGTCCAAGGGCACAGCTGAGGTCAGCTGCCCCCCTGGGGACACATTTACTTCTTCCAGCAACCACTGTCAGACCAACAGACCCTTGTTCTGTCTTCATGTCCTTCTAATATTAATTTTTCATGTCCACCTAACCCTGCGCCTGCTGCATGAGACACCCTCCCACCCTGAGCCTTCAAATGGCAAATTCTGTCACCAGCCTTACCTTCAGGTCCAGACGTTTGGGCACATTCAGCCCTTGGCTTTTGAGCACATTCAGCCCTTGGCTTTTGAGCACATTCAGCCCTTGGCTTTTGAGCACATTCAGCCCTTGGCTTTTGAGCACATTCAGCCCTTGGCTTTTGAGCACATTCAGCCCTTGGCTTTTGAGCACATTCAGCCCTTGGCTTTTGAGCACATTCAGCCCTTGGCTTTTGAGCACATTCAGCCCTTGGCTTTTGAGCACATTCAGCCCTTGGCTTTTGAGCACATTCAGCCCTTGGCTTTTGAGCACATTCAGCCCTTGGCTTTTGAGCACATTCAGCCCTTGGCTTTTGAGCACATTCAGCCCTTGGCTTTTGAGCACATTCAGCCCTTGGCTTTTGAGCACATTCAGCCCTTGGCTTTTGAGCACATTCAGCCCTTGGCTTTTGAGCACATTCAGCCCTTGGCTTTTGAGCACATTCAGCCCTTGGCTTTTGAGCACATTCAGCCCTTGGCTTTTGAGCACATTCAGCCCTTGGCTTTTGAGCACATTCAGCCCTTGGCTTTTGAGCACATTCAGCCCTTGGCTTTTGAGCACATTCAGCCCTTGGCTTTTGAGCACATTCAGCCCTTGGCTTTTGAGCACATTCAGCCCTTGGCTTTTGAGCACATTCAGCCCTTGGCTTTTGAGCACATTCAGCCCTTGGCTTTTGAGCACATTCAGCCCTTGGCTTTTGAGCACATTCAGCCCTTGGCTTTTGAGCACATTCAGCCCTTGGCTTTTGAGCACATTCAGCCCTTGGCTTTTGAGCACATTCAGCCCTTGGCTTTTGAGCACATTCAGCCCTTGGCTTTTGAGCACATTCAGCCCTTGGCTTTTGAGCACATTCAGCCCTTGGCTTTTGAGCACATTCAGCCCTTGGCTTTTGAGCACATTCAGCCCTTGGCTTTTGAGCACATTCAGCCCTTGCCTTTCGAGTACATTCAGCCCTTGCCTTTTGGGCACATTTAGCCCTTGCCGCTTGGGCCCTTGTCATCACCCCTGAGTATGTTAAGTTGTCCTTCTTCTGAGCTGCTTGGAGCTTCGTTTGGCTTCTGTTCCCAGATGAGGTGGTTCCTGAGCAAAATAGTGATTTGTGAGTAGTTTTCACTGGGGTCCCCAGTGAAGCTCCTCCTTCCCCTGTTAGTGACCTTCCTTTTCATGCTCCCTGTCTCCACACTGTCAGGAAATTCTGTATCCCTGGACCCTGCTTTTATCTTACTGTTTCTCTATAAATGCTCCTCTCCTTCCTCATAATATACCCTCTGGTTCTCTGTTCCCCTTCGACCTCTCATTTTGTCTGTAATTACAAGTGTATCAGTGAGAATGTAACCTCCACGTCTGTTTTGGTCCCCGATGAGTTCCAAGAACCTAGGACACATGCCTAGCACCCACCCCAACTCAATTCATCTTTGTTGAATGAATATACAAGGGCAGCATATTTCTGCAAGTACTAGAACTATGTCTTTTTCATCCTTATATACCTCCATGTCCCTAATTATTAAGTCAACAAGTCTCAGGGGAGAGGGCAGATGCTGGCTAGCACCAAGAAGTCACGGCTCATTTGAGACCATTTTGGAGATATTGCTCATCCTGAAACACAGAATTTGTTGAAAACGAAGGGGATTTTTAAGTTCCAAAAATTGTCTTCAGGTACCAAGCAGAAAAGTTTGGAGGTCTGAATGTAAAGTTTTCATAGAAGTCACTGGTCACAGAAAACTCAGCATTTGACAAAAAGTAAGTTTCCTCCAGCCTAGGGAGGCACCGAGGCTGGGAGCTGGGAGAAGAGACAAGGGTTGGAGGGGGCAGGCAAGAAGGCCCGAGTCCCGTCAACCCCAAGACTCAGGGGTGTTGGAAGCAAGCAGAAGAATGGGGTGTGTCCAAAGCAGGGAAGCTCGTGTGATGTTGTGTGTTCGGGGGCTGAGATGAGGTCCCCTCAGAGGGCTCCCAGGCCCCCATAAGGTAGGGAATCCAAGAGACTCCTCACGCACGAGCCACCTTGAGCTACAGAGAAGAGGGAAGGAGAAAGGAGGGGGGAGAGGGTGCAGGGGGGGGTACAGGGTGATGAAGACAATAGAGCGACCCGAGGGGCCAGAAAACCTCCACGAATTCCTATTTCCTGTGTGGCAGTGCTGCCACTGTCCTGGTAGGTGCGGGATGAGTGGGCATGAGGCGCTGCAGGTGGCGAGCGATGCTCCGTGGCAGCAAGTGGGCCCCGGCCTGGCGTCGGGAGTCAGTCCCGCTGCGAACCCACATTTGCTCCGTCTGTTCTTCCCGGCTCCGAACGGGCGCCAGGCACAGTCCTAACCTCAGAGCTGCCTGGTGCCTCTGCCACCTCTACCCCATTGCTCCCCAAGGGCAGGAGAAGCCTTTGGAATCAACAGGGCCTCTGGGTTCTCCTTGGACGGGGTGGCCTAGGGGACAGGGATGGGACTGGCCATGTCCCAGGGACACCGGGTGGCCATGCGGCTGGAAACGAGGCCAGGCTTGTCATCTAAGCGAAGATCCTCATGAAGAGCAAGGGAGTGATGATTTCACTCTTCCCGCTTACCTTTCTGGAGCCTTCCTTTCTGTCTTAAGTTTGAAGTTGGCCTGCTAGGTTTTTTTCTCCCTTTTCCTAAAACAGAACAAAAAAAATCTCTTATGGATATAAATATTGATCTACAAGCTCCAGATGTCGATACTTTATAAATCAACTTATTTCTGTCTTCCCATCACTTTGGGGAAGCAGAAAACCATGGGACCTATGTGAAAAAAGTACTCCATTTTACCTGGAAATGAAAAAGGTTGAATAAAGAAGTAACAAAGATATAAATCACTAACATTTAAGTTAAGCCATGTCAACAACATCAGTTGCTCAAGCCCAGTTTTATTATTACGTTTGTGTTTATGATGAGACGTTCTCTTCATGGTTTTCCCAGAAAAGTCATGTGAGAAACATGGAGATTGGGACCCTAGGAAAAAACTTGACCCATGGCTTCGGCAATTCCAATAAAGTGCCAAGAATATGCTTGGGGCATGAATTCTCAGCAGTGGGGATGTTGCCTAAAAATTGATTCGTGGGGGGAAAATCTTACTCTTTTTACTTATAAGGCACAAATAAACATACACAGTTCCTAAATCAATATATAATACCTTTGTGATATTAAAATATCATGAGGGGTATTCTTCATTAGAAAAAAACAAACATGTGTGGGCTCCTAGAGCAGTGATGGTGAAGAAGCGGCTGAGGAACTCTGGCTTAGAGTAAAACAGTTCTGAACCTGGGCTCCAGAGACCACACTCTGATTGCAATCCCTCATCTGTACCTTGTGTGATTTTTGGTGGTATGACAGGTGGGCCCTGGGGACTCTTTGCTTCATCCACTTCCGAAGTGTCATCACTGACCTCTGAAAAATAAAAAATAAAAAGACATCCCGTTCAGATCCCAGTAGCCGCACCCTAGAAAGTTTCATGGGGACTCTCCCAGAGATCCAGGAAGGACCTTGCACCTTCTGGAGCTGAAGGCTGGAGGTGAGGTCTTGCTAGAGCCTCCATGGGGCCTTCCTGTGCATACACCACAGGGTCTCTCCCACTCGGGCGGCAGAGCAGGGCCAGGCTCCTCTACTAACGGGGACGTCCAGCGGGAGAGCAGTTGTCTGAACCCCTCAACCAGAGGCTCGAAGTGAGGTCCTGAACCTCTGGGGGGTCTTGGAAACCCTTTCAGGAGATTTTTGAAGTCAAAACTGTTTTCATAATGAGGTGTACTTTGCCTTTATCACTATGTAAATCTTTGTACACAGGGAGCAAGAGCCCTGGCTGGGAGAGCTGCTGGTGCCTTAGTACAAATCAAAGCACTGTATCAGTGGGTGGGAAAGGGGGACATCTGTAATACTTTCAACAATAAAGATAAATTTTAAAAAAAAGCACTGTCCCCAAAGCCTAGGAGCAGTTATTGTTATCCTCACTGCCACATGCTGTAAAACAAGAAGCCAGATTTATTTAAGAATGTTCTTGATAAGCCAGTAAAAACTATTAATTTTATTAAATGTCTACCCTTGAGTACACATCCTTTTTAATAGTCTTTGTGAAAAATTGGAGAGTATACATAAAGCCATTCACTGCACCTCGAATTTCCATGAGTCTCAAGAAAAATACTTGTGTGACTGTTTGAGATGCGACTCACTGTAAAATTCAGTGACTAATGTTTTTCAAATGTTCATGATATTAATAAACCTTGCATAAAAAGATTCATTCAACATGCAAGATAGCATTATGCAGTTTATTGCAACAGAGAATGAAAAATGCATGGATATGGCCCGGCTGGGCGTAGCTTAGCGGTTGGGCATAGACCTAGGATCCAGGAGATCACCGATCGATTCCATCAGGGCACATGCCCCGGCTGTGGGCTCGATCAATGACTCTCTCATCATTGATGTTTCTCTCCCTCTCCTTTCCTCTCTCTGAAATCAATAAAGATGTATTTTTTTAAAAAGTTCATGGATGTGGTTTCAGATTCTACATTACAGCTAGCCTTTAAGAACCTCTCCCTTGCTGAGTTTTGGTGAGTTTGAGAGCTGCTGCCCTAGGTCCCAGCTGGGGTCCGCTGTACCCTGTGATCACAGCTGTTTAACAAAAACTCCTCAGATGTGACAGGTATTTGTGTCCTCTCTGTTGCTCTTGTCACACCTCATCAGCTTTCCCTGCACTGCTCTCTCCTCATATTAACTTCTCAGGTCCACCTAACCCTGTGCCCGCTGCACAAGAGCCCCTCCCATCCTGAGCCTTCAAATGGCAGATTCTGTCACCAGCCTTACCCTCATGTTTAGACATTTGGGCACATTTGGTTCTTGCCTTTTGGGTCCCTGTCACCAACACTAAGTTCCTGCTTGAGTTGTCCTGAGTCGCCTGATATGCCATTTGGCGCTTCTTTTGGACTATGTTTCCAAAGGAAGTGGTTCCTGAGCCAAATAGTGATTTGTGAGTAGTTTCCATTGGGGTCCCCAGTGGACCACCTCCTCGCCCTCTTAATGATCTTCCTTCTCATGCCTCCAGCCCCCAAACTTTGAGATCTCTGTACCCCTGTGCCTTACTTTTCTCCTGCTATTTCTCTGTAATTACACATTTTTTCTTGTGTGCACCTTACTCTCCCCGCGGCCCCCAATTCACCATCTGGTCTCATTCTTTGTTCAACCTATTGAAATCAACCAGAGAAATTTGGAGGCATCCCAGAGCCTTCTAAAGTTACCTCTCCGGGTTCCCCAGGACCCATGTGTGGAACGGGAGAGATGGGGGTGGGCGGAGGGGTGTCTGTGTGCAGGGAGAGTCTGCTTCATTGTTGAAAGAACAGATCACAATTTTCTCTGGCTGTCGACTTAGAAGCTGATCCCAGTAGGATGACCATGGCCCAGTGGAGAAAACATATCTCTATGATATCTCTATGGAAGCCAGGGGGAATGCACATGTGGCACAGCCAGGTCCCCTCCTGGCAGATGGACACATGAATATATATATATATATATATATATATATATATATAGACATCCAAGTGCCACTTATTTATATAGGAGGCAGGAGTGGCTAAAAGTTGGAGAGGAGGTACCCAGACCCGCAGGGAGTTGAGTCATGGCAGTTAATGAGTATTGATCCAAAAGACATTGGGGCCACCTAAAAGAGCCTAATAGTTGCCTTTAACTGGCAAGTTTCATGCTTTTCCCCTGTCTAAAAGGAGAGTGTGAGAAATGAGGACTGTTACAGAAAATAAAGAATACCGCTTTTTTTGCATATAAGAGTGTGGTATGTATATTTTCAGCATGACTATCTGTGTTCCTTATTTCTCAAAAGTTTGTATCACTTTTCAGGTGTTTTCAATATTTTTAATGAGTGACTGATTGAACGTAGAATAATGTGTCTCTTAGGAACATCACTGTAAAATTTTTCATCTAAATACAAGAGGAAGAAAGACAAATTTGGAAGGGCCTGGCATTTCCTACTCCTTTTGGTAGCTTGGCGGAGGGAAGTCTAAGCAGGTCAGTTACCCAAACAGAACAGGCTGACCCCAGCCCCGGTGGCTCCCCTTTTCTAACAAGGCCACTCTGACCGGGGATCGTGCACTGTAGCATAGTCACACAGACATTCCTGGCCCCAGTCCTGGTCCTATAAACCTTTGGAGCACTATGGGAGTGGATGCCTCCGTACTGGGATGCTGGCCACAGGGCATGCAGACCACTCACGCCTGCTCTAGAGCAGGGGTAACAAGGAGGATTGTGTGGGCTCTGCTGCTCTGCTGTGAGATTCCCTCCAAACTGGCCTTGCACTGGCCCCCTTCTCTCCATCTCCACTGCTCAATTTGAACCCAGGACACTGTCAACTCTCATGGCACCTACTCTCCAAATGGTTGCCCTGTTTCCATTCTTTTCTATTTCCAATTCATTCTTTACCTTTAACTGGCAAGTTTCATGTTTTCCCCTGTCACAAAAGGAGAGTTTCAGAGAAACGAGAACTGTTACAGAAATAAAGAACACCACCTTTTTTGCATGTAAGAGTGTGGTATGCATATTTTCAGCATGACTATCCAAAAATCGGTCTCACCAAAATCGGTCTCAAGTTTAAAATCGGATCGTGTCATTCACCGCTTAGATCGCTTCAATGGCTCCCCGCTGCACTTAGAATACAGTTCACCTTCCGCACCTTGACCCACAAGCGTGAGCCGCCTGCCGCCTCCAGCCTCCGGCCTCCTACTGTCATCTTACCTCTTGAAAGCCTTTTTTTCTTCTGTCTCTTTTTTTCAGTTGACCAGGCACTTATTTTTCTTTTCTTTCCTTAAAAGAAAGAATACAGATCATCTTTTATAACCACACACATAAATCTGACAAGCTTCTGTGTCAACAACGCTCAAACCACAGTGGCTAGGAGGTGACCTTAGGTGATGCTGCTTCTCGGAGTAATGGGGGAAAGGGAAAGGGAATTCTAAAGTGGCCACGGAGGGAGAGACATGAAGAAAAGGAGACTAGGTAACGGATTTCTAGAAGCTTCATTCTGAAATGGAGGGGAACTACGGAGGCAGGTGAAGGGAGATGGGGGTTAAGAGAAAGTTCCTTTGTGAGCTGGGATAGGCTTGGGCATTGGCTGGATGCAGATCCTTGTGGGAAGCCAATGCTGAACCCTACTGTCAGGCGAGCTGGAAGGACTGCCCTGGAGAGAAGGAGGGAGCCAGGGAGGAGGGGACATTGGTAGCCTGAAGTTTGGGGATTCCTGTCTGAGGCCTTTCTATGAAGTAGGAGGAAAACTGATCTCTTGAGAAAAAAAGGGAGCATTGAGAGGGTCAGAAGTTTGACAAAAAGAGCTCAAGGTCTGAAAGGATCATCACAGGAAGTGGGATGGACACATGGTGTGGGGGGGATTGTTTAGCTGAAATCGTGACAACACAGTGGGTGCAGTCTGCCCTGCTGTGTGCCTCTCCCCAGCAGAGCCTGCTTTTAGAGGCAGTGTGCAGAAAGCAACAATGGACTCCTCCAAGGCCTTCCAGAGAGTTCTAGGAAAAGATAGAGTCAAGGCAGGTTGAGTATTGGCAATAGGCTACTGAAATGATGGCTCTTGGGCTCTAAGCTGGTATGAAGGGGCATGAGGAAAGGCAGATGACGGACTGGAAAAGGGAGAGGCCAGCAGACTGGTCATCCTGATGAGGTTGAAGGGCAGCTACAGAGGGAACACACTACAGGAAGAAATCAGGGAAGGATATTTTTGAATTAATTTTTTAAGATTGTGCTGAGGAGGGAAATCAGAGGTTGAACGATTGTTGTAGAAGGAGGAGACTTCAAGGATTTGGTGTCGAGAAAAGAATTATTTAATCATTGGGAAGTTGAGCCAGGTTTGAGTGATGAAGGGCCTGTGAATTGTCTTTGGGTGTGGAAGGCCTAGAATGGTGGAGGAAAAGTGATTGGAAACTAGCAGATGAAGGACTGGAGAGGTCAGGGTGCTGGATGGGCCTGCTATTCACGTGCACCTTGAAGGTGTCCAAGATGATCACAGGGCTTGAAACAGAAAAACTCCAAGTCACCATTGTGTTCTGCTGGGGAGTGGAGAGAGAGTCACGGAGTGACACTGATGAAGGAGTGAATATTTCACTTGAATGGTTAAGCCTCAGAAAAGGGGATGGGGGAGCAAGGGGCTGGCTGGGGACAGCGGGGAGCAGGCATGAACATCCAGCCTGCCTTTCACGCTGAGGTGAGCAGCAGCAGAGAATATGTAGCTACATCTTAAGGGACAGCAGCGTGCTCTTGGGAAACCACCTTTCAGTTAAAGGAGGTACAACTAACCCTCCAAGCTGCGGCGGATGTAGGAGAGCTTGGCAATCTCAGAACAGGCGATTTCAAGGGGTGTCTATCTGCGTGACCCTAAATGCCTTCTGCTTTTCCTATGATTTCGTGAAGGGCTTAAAGGAAGGAGCTGCAGAAATGACTTGAACTGAGCATCATGACTACAACCACAGGGTGAGTGCTCACGACAAAATCCGATCAGAACAGGACGGAGCTCCAGAGCTCCGCAGGCCCCTCCCGACGTCTGCAGGAGGGAGGCCATCCTTACCTTTCCTGACGGGGGCTGGGCTGGCTGCCTCCTGGGGCTCCTCTGGCTCCTTTGGCTCAGGAGAATCATTTCTTATCACTGACAAGGGAAGCAATTCGTTTCAGAGGTCAGATGGGCTCAAGAGAAAGTGCTGAGGGAGCTTAATGCGAGAACAAAAGGAAGGAGGGCATGTGTGGCCACAGGGTTCCCTGGTTCTGCCTTGATTCGATCAACATCGTGGTTACTGTGACCTGCGTGAGTATCACAGAACCAGGGAGCAGCTGCCAGCAGAGGGCTCAGTTTGGCCCATGTGGACGGACTCCCCTTAGTCAATGGCAGACAAGTACAGGGAGGGGCTCTCAGTAGCCCTCACTTGGGGAATGCGCCTGAGAGCAGTGGAAGTGGTGGCCTTGAATTCTGAAGGTCACAGTGAAGGCAAATGTTTGCCATATGAAAAGTGCATGTTATTGCTTAGACGTCTGTGAATGGATATTTTAAACCTGTTCTACCTGTGACTGTTTCACCTTGAGAAACAGGGAAAGAGGCTAAGTGCCTTATACATTTCAGCTGAAGAAAGCAGGCGCCAGCTGGCACTTGCTAGCACTTGTTAACAGCAAATAAACACAAAGTTCTTAATTTCTGCTGCACTAGGAGAGACAGAGGGATCAAAGCCATCACAGAGGCCTGTCTCAGGAAAGGCTGTCACCTTTTCATTTTCACAAGGCTGTGACATCCGGCTCAAATTCCGGTCTGTTTAGGAACAGGGAACTGGGGCAGGTGGCAAACAGTCACTAAACCCTTTAAACAATTTGCTACATTTCAAAAATTTTTAATATCAATTTTAAAAATCCAAACCTATAGAAATTTGGAGGGTTGACAGTGACAGTTCCCCACAGTCAGGGTGGGGGCTGAGAAGGAGGATCATCCATGTCCAGGGCACCGATTCAGTGTTAGGGCCACACAGTGACTTCGCTCTGCATTTTGATGGAGCAGTTTTGAGCTCTACCTTAATGAAGTAGCCCCAGAGAGTCACCGAGTCCCACAACCCCGCCCTGGCTCAGTCCTTCCCTCTTCCCTCGCTTTCCCCCCACAGTGCGCTTGAGCGTCAGTTGGGCGGGCCTGTTGGACATCACAGCATCGGACTGGCTGTGGCCGAGTCCCTGACAAGCGGTCCTGCGCCAGGTAGGGCCACTGGTTCCCCTCTTTTTCTTGGTCATACCCAGTTCTTTCTCTTGGGGTTCCTGCCACCAGCCTCCCGGTCTGCAGGTGTGTGTCCACCTTTCACAGCTACCTTGAGCTAACCTAAGCCAGCCCCAAGTACATTACCTTGCGCAGCGGCAGGGGGAGTGTCGGGCTCCTGCAGTGCGTCTTCTTCGTCATTTATGTGGGCTGTGAAGTTGGTCATTGAGGAGAGGAAGAAAAATCATTACAAGTTACAGGGACAGGATGTGGGGGAGAAGAGTGAAGGGAAAAAAGGCCTGGGGCAGATGGAGTATGAAGGTCCAAGGGCAGAGGGTTGGGCTGTTGCAGGGGTGGAAGCAGGTGCTCTGGGCCCTATTCCCACCCAGGCCCCTCACAGTGTCCATAATCCTTCTAGAAAGGGCTGAGGATGGGAGGTGGGTGTATGGAAGGGGCAGATGAACACCAAGATGGGACCCTGGGGTTCTAGACGTGGCCACAGGCACCCAGGCCAGCGATGCACAGGTGTCAGAGCATCTGTTTCTCACCTGGAGTGGTCCTTCCTTTCTGGACGACCCTGGGAGGAGACTTGGCAGGGCTGGCAGGGCTGGGTGGCTTGTGCAGGACCGTAGCACTGTACTGAGGGGTTGCTCTGGGCTGACTGACACTGGGCACAGCCGTGGAGCATCTCCGTGGGAGGCTCTGGGGGGCTGGCAGCGGCAGCCGGTTCTGGGGAAGGCTTCTTTCTGCGGGGTTGGCTGGGACTTCAAAGAGGTTCACTGTGGCTCTGCTCCATCCTTGGCAGGCAGTGATGACTGGGGATGGTAAAGGAGCACATCAGCACCCTAGAGAACTCGGAGTTACGTGGGGCAGGGATTTCTTTCCACGCGCCTTCCGCCAGGCTGGGGCATGGAGTTATTCACTGTCCCCGAGGTGCGGGGAGTCAATCTGTCATCACGGTCCATCTGTGGCCACTTTCTAATTTATGAATTTGATCTGGGTGCTCAGCGCCAGAATAACTGTATCTCGCCTCTGATCTAACATGAAAGTGGTTTCACACATAAAGTTGAGTTTCACTTTGTCCCCAGGGATTTACTTTTTTTTTTAGCTTTTCCTTAATTTTGGTTTCAGAATTTAGACAATTATGAACAACAATGCTTTAATTGAAATAGATGTCCCTGTTTTAACAAATAAACATATCACACTTCCCTGTAGCAAATAAGATAAAATATAACTTTCTTTTCATAGTGTTTCCCCAGACTCAGCTTCTGTGCCTCCTCGCCTTGCACCCTGTGACCTGGCCACACTCAGCTTCCTTCCCACCCCTGACACCCCAGGCCCTCGGCTTCCCCCAGGCTGTCCCCTGCTTAGCCAGTGGTGGCTTTCTCTTAGGCTTCTTCTCCAGCGTTGCTTCAGGAGTAAAGTTGTTTCAACCAGTGAAGAGAAACAGGCAAGGTGAGATTTTGGAGAGGGGCCCAGAAAAAAAATCACCAGATTTGTTGACCTGGAAGGATGTTTGAGCTCAGCCGGGTCAGGGGACACATCAGTGTGTGGCCCCTCTGGCTGTCAGGCTTGTCTGGCACGGCCTCTGAGAACACACTTCTCCCAGCCCTGCCCCGATGCTGCCAGGCGCAGGAGCCCCCATGCAGCTGTACCTGCCTGGAGGGTGACTCTTCTCCTTTTTGCCCCTTTAGCTCAAGGATTCGGTTCTCCTGGGGGAGGAGCCTCTGGATGGAAAAGTGTCAGAGAGCAGAGCAAGGGCCACCGGCGGTGGTGCTCCGCTGCTGTCTCCCCGCCCTTCTCAGATAAGCGAACCTTGTGTTTCTGCTCAAACCCAAAATGGCTTTATCATCTGCTCCTCTTACTTCTTTTTTCCGAGCTCTATCATTGCAATTTTTACTACTCCTTTATTTATTCAGTTCTTTCCCCCCTAAGTGTGTTTCATGCTCCACGTCTTTCTCATAGTCTCTTTCTGTCTCTGTGTCCCCAATTCCCCTCCCCCTCTTCCCTCCTCCAGCCTCCCAGGTCTCCTCTTTAGAGAAGCGATTAACATCCCAGGCCCTGGTATTAGGAGATCCAAGTAGGACTTCTGGCTCTGCTCTTAACAGACAGATAACTTTGGGAAAGTGATTTTGAGCATTAATTTCCTTATGTGTCACATGGGATAATTACGATGTCACAGGATTGTTTTAAATGTGATATGAGATAATCATATGAAGTGCTTAGGATATTGCCTGGCACATACCAATCACTCAAAAGAAAAACCCCCTCGCAAAAAAAGATATTATTACTTATCCCTACCCATTACTCTCCCTTTCTGGCTCTCCCTGTCCTTCCATCAGTAAGGGTGTCTGGAACATTGCATTTCCGTCACATTATGCATTCCCTAGAGACTGCCCAGGGTGCTAAACTGTACAATTTCCCCCCAAATTCAGAGAACAGGTCAGACAGAAACATTCGTGACTTGGAAAGTCATCTTAGAGAACCAGGGCCACAGGCTACCCTTGAGAGACCATGGCCCACGCCTCCCTCCCTGCCAAAGAGAAAGTGGGCAATTCCAGTGCATCCCCCACGGGCTGGAGGGCAATGCAAACTTTCAGCGCAGCACCTTCCCTCACACCCCAGGCTCTGTACTCTGCAGCCCCGCAGGAATCCAGGAGGCCTCATACCGTTCATGAAGCTTCTGTGCACTGCCCTCAGGTCGGGGTATTCGCGCAGGTTGATTGGGCTGAACAACATCTCCAGAAACGTCACATTAAACGGCTCCTCCAGTTTGGTGAGAATGTTGTACGCCACTCTGGACACGGGGACCATATTTCTACAGGCTTCCATAGACTCCTTAAGAAACGAAACGAGGATTATTATACATGATTATAAAGGGAAATGAAGGTTTAGTATACATTTGTGGACTTCTAAGGTGTAAGAAAGCTACTTTGCTCTTTTAAGAAGAAATTTAATGTAAAATGTACAGCCTAACTCTCTAATGTGGAGAAATCACAGTTTCACGTGTTTACTTTGGGAACATCACATATATTTTGATAGTTAGTTATAGGAATAAATTATTTAGCCTTTTTAAAAATAAGTCTGTTTTGTGAACCTTATTTTAGGTCCATTTGAGGGAAGAGAGAAATTTTAAGGAAGGAAAGTGGAGTCAAAGGCTGTTTTGGTGTCATTAATTCTCTAAGGCTCTGGGCAGGACACTTCAGCAGTTGACCCAATGGTAGGTCCCTAGTGGCAATTCTGTTGATTTTTGTTAGCCTGTTTTCTCTCTTTCTCTCTTGGACCTGAGATGGCCTGATGGGTTTCAGCCATGAGGAAACGACCCACAGAACTCTTCTTGATGAGAGGATGGCTAAAATGACAAACACGGCAGGAGACAATTGATTGTAAAATGCTTATGGAGCACCTACTGGGCTAGTCCTTGGGCACAAAGCAATGGAGGAGATCCACATGGTGCTATCTTTACTGGGGGAAGGGCACTGTCAGGCAAAGAAGATGGGCGTTAAGTAATAAACACAAATTAAAGAAGTACCCAATTGCGATTGAGAGAAGTTTTACTAAGGGAAATCATAGGTTTCTAGGAGAGGGAATAATAAGGAGGTCTTAATTAGATTAGTAGGTCAAGGACGCCTCTCCCTCCTAGCTGGGCTATGATCTGGAGAGGGCTTGGAGCCATCCAGGCCAAGACTGGGGGAGACAGTTCTGCCACTGCGAACACTTCCCTAGGCTCAGGAAATGCTTTCAATGCCCCAAATTATATGAAAAAGAGCGCCATTTTTATACACATGGTCATATCTCCCATTGCTTGCCTTTCTTCACATTAGAATGGACTATGGGTAACATGCTCTTGGGAATTAGAATGGTGCCATTAGTGGGATAAACAGTGTCCCCTCCCTCTGAAGATATGTCCACTTGAAACCTGTGAACATGGTCTTATTTGGAAAAAAAAGGCCTTTGCTGATATAATTAAGTTAAGGATCTTGAAATGAGATCATTTTGGATGAGGGTGGGCCCTAAATCACAATGACCAGTGTCCTTAGAAGAGACAGAAAGGGAGAAGGCACCAAACAAGTCAGGTGCAGTAGAGATGGAGCAGCGATGAGATGTTTCTGTAAGTCACAGGAACCAAGCTTTGCTGGTGCTACCAGAAGAAAGGCAGGGAACATTCTCCCTCAGGATCTCTAGGAAAAATCAACCCTGCCAACACTTTAATTTTGGACTTCTGGCCTCCAGAACTGTGACAGAATACATTAAAAAATTTTTATTTATTTATTTATTGATCTTTTTTTGAGAGGAAGAGAGAGAGGGAAGAGAGAGACAAAGGGAGTGAGGGAGAGAGAGAAACATCAACTTGTTGTTCCACTTATGTATCTACTGGTTGATTCTTGTATTTGTATGTGCCCTGACTGGTGTTCGAACCCACAACTTGGTGTATGGGGATGATGCTCTAACCAACTGAACTACTCATCCAGAGCCATATTTTTCTTTTAAGTCACCTGGTTTGAGGTCACCCTATCACACCCTCTTTCCCTGACAATCAACATTTGGGTCCAGGCCTTCTAAACCCTAGAAGCCCTGAGGGGGTTGTGGTTTTAGACCTCAATAATTGGGCATTCTTGGTGAGGACTGGGCCGCCATGGGCGAGTGTCAACGTGACTCACCATGTACATTCTCTCGGAGATGAACGATTTGTCTCGGAGGCCTTCGAAGAAGGGAAATGGCTTGAATATGGCATAGGAGATCGCCAGCTTCTGAAGGATGAAGTGCTGCCGAAGAGTCTCTAGGAGGCCTCGGGTGATGGTGTACATCCTATGGAAGACAAAAAGAGAAGCAAAGATGTTGTGGAGCTTGGAAAGCTGCCTTCTGTATGCCGTGGGCATTGTGATCCCTAAGGTACCCCTGAGCAGTCTGCAAAGCAACGTCTGCCTCAAAGACTCATGGGTATAGGGAGCAATGACAACCCCCAGCAACAATGGAGGTAAAAGTGATGGGCAACGTGACCCCGAAAGCCCAAAGGGGCTGCTGCTTAAACATCATATTTTTAATATGAAAAATAGCGAATATTAATTGAGTGCTTCCAGTGTACCAGACCTTGCTCTAAGGGTTTCCCATGCAGTGACTTATCTGATCTTCACAAAACCCTTGTAAGATGGTCACTATGATCCCACCTATTTTTATCATCGAGGACAGGGGGACAGAGAGAGGTTTAGTCACCGCCCTAAGCTGTGCGACCGGAAGCAGTCCAGGTGGACAGATCCCGACTTTCTGGTTCCTGGCTCACAGTCATAAGATGTCCTGCACCGCGCACACGAGCAGTGCTCACTAGCATGCTCATGCAGGAGGGACGGCCCAAACAGGCAGAGATGGACGCTGACCGTGCTTAGAAACTTCAAGAAGCCGCCCACAACCTTCAACACACAAACAGGCAAAACACGAATAAAAGCACCAAGAATATAAGTGACACGATTAGCAAAGGTGACTTAACTGATCTATACATCAATCTCATACCTCAGAACAGACGTGTGCATTTTCTCATGCCACATTTATGAAATTCACCATTTATAGGTCAAGAGAAAATATTAGTAAGTTTAATAGGCAGAAAATTTACAGATGACATTCATGACAAACTGTCAGGAAGAGGGAGGCATTAACAAAATATTCACTCACCTAGAGATATTCAACAAACAAACAAACACAGATTCTATTTTTCCAACTTTGTGTCCAAGAGAAAATGGAAGAGTAATTAATGCCCCTTTCCAGGGATTTAATCCCAGTGGCAGACTGAGCACCCCTGTCTCCTTCCTTATTCTCAAATCCTTTAAGTTTGACAGAAAAAAATATTATAAAAAAAGAAAAATCCAGAACAGTACTAGAAAACAAGGAAAAATGCCATTGGGGGTCTATAATTGTGAAGAAGTCCTGGAGGATGGAGAACAGGTGGGAGAGAAATCTACCATCCGCGACATGCACGCGGGAAGGACTTGCAAAGAGCACAGAGCCAGAGACAGTCAGGGTGGACACATGCTGGGAGGCGGAGGGGTCCTGGGGGTGCGTCTGTGATGACCTCGTGACATTCAGAACAGAACACCCCGTTTCCTCATTCTTAAAAAAAATTTTTTTTTCAATTACAGTTGAAATTCTTTATTATATATTAGTTTCCGGTGCACAGCACAGTGGTTAGACACTTCTATACCTTATGGAGCGATCCCCCCGCCAGACAGACGTTCCTCATTCCTGTCTGTAATGATTCCCAGGGATGAAGCACAGAGAGGTTAAAAACCTGCCCCAGGTATCCGGTGGCGAAGGAGAGCACACCTGCCCCAAGCGGCGCCTGATACACATTTCATATACGAGTCCCCGGATTTTTATTATGTAAAGAAGTCTTAAAAATGAACAAGTCAAAGACAAACATCCACACAGAAAAAAAGCAAAAGACATAAGCAGGCAATTAGGTCCAGCGTGTAATAAATATAATAAAAAACATGGTAACTCACTAGGAGTTGGAACAGTGCAAATGAAGACAACTTAATAACACGTTGGCCTGTCAGGTGGACCGGACAGAAAATAAGAGCAACCCACGCAGACTCTCCCGGTGGAAATGTAAACATTCCCAATGCCCCGAAGGGCAGCTTAGCAACCACGTCAAATGTCCTCAAATTCGTGCTCCCTTGAGTCCTGGATAGATCCCAGCTCTAGGGATTTATTTGAGGGGAATAATTATGAATATGCTTCAAGAAAAAAATAGAGAAAGTTTACAATACACTACAGGAAGTGAAATGCACTCTCATTTTCTCTCTTCCACCAGCTTCCCAGCTCCCTGGAGCCTCTGCACAGTGGATGATGAATGAGCTGCCCTGGGGGCAGGGGGCAGGGTCACAGGACCTGGACCTGGAGGGTGGAGAGGGAAGCTTGTCCCACCCGCAACACCAGGCTGGATTTGGGGGGAAGGCGAGCTGCGCGTGCTCTGCCCTCTGCGCCTGTCCCTGCCCGGCAGCCTCCTGTTAAATCTTCCACACCCCATTTCTTTGGGAAGCAGTGTAACCGGGCGAGCCCCGCGGTGTAAGCAGAGGATTTCCTCCCTGCAGCCGCCAGGAAATAAGCCACGAAAGCCCAGTCGCCAAAAATCCCAACGAAGCAGCCGAGTCGAAAACCCACCTGGATGCTGAGCTTCCCTCCTGCTCCTTCCCCTTGGCGGGAGCTGGCGGCCGGGTCCCTGGGAGGCTGGGACACCGGGCGACGCGGGCGAGGCAGGAAGTCTGAGCCCCGCACACGCAGCCCGCCGGCTCCGGGAAACGAAAGCGAAAGTGCTCGGAGGGAGCTGGCAGGAAGCTGCCGCGGGCTGCGGCCTCACCCACCCGGCCCTGGCCACGGGAGATTTCTAGGGTACCTGGGGCTGGCGCTGGTGCGGGGGGGCT